TAAGGGGGATTACCAACAGACCCCTGGCAGTCTTCAAGCTGGCACTGGACAAGCACCTAAAGTCAGTTCCTGATCAGCCGGGCTGTGGCTCGTACGTTGGTTTGCGTGCAGCCAGCAGCAACAGCCTGGTTGATCAGGCGCTGATCCACCAGGAGGCCTGGTCACAGACCGGGCCGCGGGGGCGTTGACCCCCGAAACTCTCTCCAGGTAAACTCCAGGTAAACTCCAGGTAATCCCTGGAACATAATATCACTGGGATACACAATTTATTTCCCACATTATCCGTGACCCAAACTAAGTAAAACTTACAATATCTCTGGCGTTTATTTTCAAAAAACAGAATGAACACAATGTAATTACCAAGAATTTTCTACCTAGCAGGAACGCTTAGTGATTGACATCAGTTATTAAAGTGTAAATATACTGAGAGGCTTTCCAGCCAATTTTGGTTCATTACTTGCCGCGATGTTCACTTGTTCTTAAGGTCTTCACTGTAGCGAATATTTGGAACCCAGACTTGTTGATATTGGTAATGTTTCACTTCTACCGTTATTTATCGCCTGAGACTGTGACTGGACCATACTGTCCCTAGGCCACATCATTCCTGGGTCATACTATGCCTGGGAACCATTATCCTTGAACCATACTATCAGTGGTCCATGCTTTTCCAGGCCACACTTTCCCTAACCAACATTACCCCTGATTCACACTGTCATTGACCCACTTAACACACATTTTCCCTGACCAACAGTATCCGTGAGAACACTATTCCTGACTCACAATGTGATTGGTTCATACGCTCCCTGACTTACTCTCTCACTGATCCACACTATCCCTGATCCACTTTATCCCCGATAAACACCATCGCTGATTTACACTATACCTGGGACACATTTTTCCTGTCCACTGATGCTGATCCGCGTTATATTTGACTCACAATACCGACAAGTTGATCTTATTTCTCAAACGTTTCGCTTACACAGTAGACTTCTTCAGTCGAGTGCAGAGGAGGCAGCAGAAAAATTAGACATGTACAGACAATGTAATCAGTCCATCACTCTTTAAGACGTAGTTTTAAGGTGGTCAGTCCCTCAGCTGGGAGAAGAGTTCTGCTCCATAGTCTGGAACAGTGTGAAGGTGACACTGGAGACATTGTTAACGGTGAGACGTAGCCCACTAGTAGAAGAATATAATCAGTGAGAGGGCAGGTCCCTCTCAAATCCGTCACCTCTCACTTGTAACTAATGGTCAGGCAAAAATTTTATCAAAGATGTTTTCTGTACCAAAATACCGTTGTGTTGCAGTGTTTGCTGACTCCTCTTTACCCGACTGAAGCCTACTGTGTAAGCGAAACGTTTCGGAACAAAGATACCCAACTGCAGAACATGTCTTATCTGTCAGACACTGCAACACAGCGGGATCTTGGTACAGAAAATATCTTCGATAACTTGTGGATCTGAGTTACCTGACCTCTCACTGATTACATTCTTTCTTCTAGTGGGCTGCGTCTCACCTTTGACACTATTATAAGTCTCCACACTGTCGCTTCAGCTTCACATTGTTCCAGACTATGGAGCAGAACTCTTCTCCAGGCTGAGGGACTGACCTCAAAACTACGTCTTAAAGGGTGAAGCACTGATTACATAGTCTTTACATCTCTATTGCTCCTGCTGATTCCTCTGCACTCGACTGAAGAAGCCGCCTGTGTAGGTGAGACGTTTCGGAATAAAGATACCTAGCTGTTGCACACGTGCTACATTTATCGTCCCTGACTTATACTGTTCTTAAAACACACAATCCCTAACCCACTTCCACTCTTCTAAACACTCCCTGTCCCACATTAGCCCTTACACTACTACTGACCCGTATTATCCCTGACCCGTATTATCCCTGACCCATATTATCCCTGACCCATATTATCCCTGACCCATATTATCCCTGACCCATATTATGCCTGACTCGTATTATCCCAGACCCACACTAGACCCATATTATCCCTGACCCATATTGTCCCTGACCCATTTTGTCCCTGACCCATATTATCCCTGACCCATATTATCCCTGACCCATATTATCCCTGACCCATATTATCCCTGACCCATATTGTCCCTGACCCATTTTGTCCCTGACCCATATTATCCCTGACCCATATTATCCCTGACCCATATTATCCCTGACCCATATTATCCCTGACCCATATTATCCCTGACCCATATTATCCCTGACTCGTATTATCCCAGACCCACACTAGACCCATATTATCCCTGACCCATATTGTCCCTGACCCATTTTGTCCCTGACCCATATTATCCCTGACCCATATTATCCCTGACCCATATTATCCCTGACCCATATTATCCCTGACCCATATTATCCCTGACTCGTATTATCCCAGACCCACACTAGACCCATATTATCCCTGACCCATATTGTCCCTGACCCATATTATCCCTGACCCATATTGTCCCTGACTCGTATTATCCCAGACCCACACTAGACCCATATTATCCCTGACCCATATTATCCCTGACCCATATTATCCCTGACCCATATTATCCCTGACCCATATTATCCCTGACCCATATTATCCCTGACCCATATTATCCCTGACTCGTACTATCCCAGACCCACACTAGACCCATATTATCCCTTACCCATATTGTCCCTGACCCATATTATCCCTGACCCATATTGTCCCTGACTCGTATTATCCCAGACCCACACTAGACCCATATTATCCCTGACCCATATTATCCCTGACCCATATTATCCCTGACCCATATTATCCCTGACCCATATTATCCCTGACCCATATTATCCCTGACCCATATTATCCCTGACTCGTATTATCCCAGACCCACACTAGACCCATATTATCCCTGACCCATATTATCCCTGACCCATATATCCCTGACCCATATTATCCCTGACCCATATTATCCCTGACCCATATTATCCCTGACCCATATTATCCCTGACCCATATTATCCCTGACCCATATTATCCCTGACCCATATTATCCCTGACCCATATTATCCCTGACCCATATTATCCCTGACCCATATTATCCCTGACTCGTATTATCCCAGACCCACACTAGACCCATATTATCCCTGACCCATATTATCCCTGACCCATATTATCCCTGACCCATATTATCCCTGACCCATATTATCCCTGACCCATATTATCCCTGACCCATATTATCCCTGACCCATATTATCCCTCACCCATATTATCCCTGACCCATATTATCCCTGACCCATATTATCCCTGACTCGTATTATCCCAGACCCACACTAGACCCATATTATCCCTGACCCATATTGTCCCTGACCCATTTTGTCCCTGACCCATATTATCCCTGACCCATATTATCCCTGACCCATATTATCCCTGACCCATATTATCCCTAACCCATATTATCCCTGACTCGTATTATCCCAGACCCACACTAGACCCATATTATCCCTGATCCATATTGTCCCTGACCCATATTATCCCTGACCCATATTGTCCCTGACTCGTATTATCCCAGACCCACACTAGACCCATATTATCCCTGACCCATATTATCCCTGACCCATATTATTCCTGACCCATATTATCCCTGACCCATATTATCCCTGACCCATATTATCCCTGACTCGTATTATCCCAGACCCACACTATCTTGACCCACATCATCTCTCTCTGGCACTATCACCGACAAACACTGTCCTTGACACACAATTTCTACAAGCACATGATACAACTTATACAGACCATAGCTAACATCAGCGACATATATGTGAAGCCCCTGGTTATGCAGAAATTAACCAAATTTCGTGCAATTAAAGTTAATTTTGTCCCCAGGATGCGACCCACACCAGTGGGCTAACACCCAGGAACCTATTTACTGCTAGGTGAACTGGGACAGCAGGTTTCTTAAGGAAGCATGCTCAATGTTGCGACCCATACCGGGAATCGAGCCACGGACACTGAATGTGTGAGCTGAGTGCGTTATTAACCGAGTACCGGGATATAATTATTCCTCACGCGTATCCTCATTATCATTGACGCATATTATCCATGATAAATATTATCCCTCCAAACCATTATTTCCGATGCACATTATCTTGATCCACACACCCTTTAAGGGGTGTGTGGATCAGGATAGTTTGAGTTAAGGGGTGTGTGGGTCAGGATAGTGTGAGTTTAGGGGTGTGTGGGTCAGGATAGTGTGAGTTAACTCACACTATCCTGATCCACACACTCCCTAACTCATACTATCCTTATCCACACTGTCCCTAACTTACATTATCCTGATCCACACTCTCCCTAACTTGCACTCTCCTAAACAGTCTCCCAGACACACACTTTCTCATGATTCACGCTATCTCTGATCGACATAATCCTTGGTCACTGATCCTGACCCCTACACTGTCCATGACTCACACTGTCCATGACTCACACTGTCCATGACTCACACTGTCCATGACTCACACTGTCCATGACTCACACTGTCCATGACTCACACTGTCCATGACTCACACTGTCCATGACTCACACTGTCCATGACTCACACTGTCCATGACTCACACTGTCCATGACTCACACTGTCCATGACTCACACTGTCCATGACTCACACTGTCCATGACTCACTGTCCATGATTCACTGTCCATGACTCACGCTATCCATTCAATATCTCTGATTCATACTATCTTTGACCAGCACTATTCCAGACTATTACAATTTCTGACATACCTTATCTCTTACACGTTCACTTTTCCTGACATTCATTATTACTTGCACACCATTTCGAACCTCCATTATCCCTAACAGATACTATCCATTACAAATACTATCCTTGATCCACACCATCAATGACACACACTAATGCTGACTCGCACTCTACAGAGGATAGTCATTACAAACACTCAATCTGACTAACACAGTTCCTAAAAAAACACTATCAGTGGCACACACTATCCCATACATTAATCCCTTGGGCCTTACCAGCGGTGTAGGCAGCGGCGAAGAGATCAGGGTAGACGGGACTCCAGCAGATGTCAGCGACGATCAGGAAGCGAGACTTGTCGTGGTGGAACTTCCAGAGCGGCAAGAGCGACCCTTCCAGCGGCCGGAACTCATCTCCCCCGTCCTCCCAGTACCGGAAGTCTGGAAGGTAAATACCTACCAGTACCGGACGTCTAAAAGACAAACACCGCTCAGTACCTGAAGTTTGGAAGCTTACTACCCTAGTAGTACCTGAAGTTTGAAGGTGGACCACTTTCTAGTACCCAAAGTCTGGACAACAAAAATATCCCAGTCTCCGAAGTCTAGAAGAATAACACTTCTCATATTTGAAGTCTGGAAGAGAAATACCTCCCAGTAACTGAAGTCTGGAAGACAAGCACTTTCCACTAACTAAAGTCTAGACGGCTAAAACGTCCAGTCTTGTAAGTGTGGAACACACTCAGCACTACTAGTACTAGAAGTGTGGAACACAGTAGTACTAGAAGTGAGAAACACGCACAGTACTACTAGTACTAGAAGTGTGGAACACACTCATCACTACTAGTACTAGAAGTGTGGAACACACGCAGTACTACTAGTACTAGAAGTGTGGAACACATGCAGTACTACTAGTACTAGAAGTGTGGAACACACGCAGTACTACTAGTACTAGAAGTGTGGAACGCACTCATCACTACTAGTACTAGAAGTGTGGAACACACGCAGTACTACTAGTACTAGAAGTGTGGAACACATGCAGTACTACTAGTACTAGAAGTGTGGAACACATGCAGTACTACTAGTACTAGAAGTGTGGAGCACACGCAGTACTACTAGTACTAGAAGTGTGGAACACATGCAGTACTACTAGTACTAGAAGTGTGGAACACATGCAGTACTACTAGCACTAGAAGTGTGGAACACACGCAGTACTACTAGTACTAGAAGTGTGGAACACATGCAGTACTACTAGCACTAGAAGTGTGGAACACATGCAGTACTACTAGTACTAGAAGTGTGGAACACATGCAGTACTACTAGCACTAGAAGTGTGGAACACACGCAGTACTACTAGCACTAGAAGTGTAGAACACACGCAGTACTACTAGTACTAGAAGTGTGGAACACATGCAGTACTACTAGTACTAGAAGTGTGGAACACATGCAGTACTACTAGCACTAGAAGTGTGGAACACAGTATTACTAGAAGTGTGGAACACGCGCAGTACTACTAGTACTAGAAGTGTGGAACACGCGCAGTACTACTAGTACTAGAAGTGTGGAACACAGTATTACTAGAAGTGTGGAACACACAGTACTACTAATGAAGTGTGGAACACGCGCAGTACTACTAGTACTAGAAGTGTGGAACACGCGCAGTACTACTAGTACTAGAAGTGTGGAACACGCGCAGTACTACTAGTACTAGAAGTGTGGAACACGCGCAGTACTACTAGTACTAGAAGTGTGGCACACAGTTACTAGCAGTACTATAAGTTTGGCACACAGTTATTAGCAGTACTAGAAGTGTGGAACACCGTATTAGCAGTACTAGAAGTGTGGCACCAGTTACTACTAGTACTAGAAGTGTGGCACACAGTTACTAGCAGTACTATAAGTTTGGCACACAGTTATTAGCAGTACTAGAAGTGTGGCACACAGTTACTAGCAGTGCTAGAAGTGTGGCACACAGTTACTAGCAGTACTAGAAGTGTGGTACACAGTTGCTAGCAGTACTAGAAGTGTGGCACAGTTACTAGCAGTACTAGAAGTGTGGCACACAGTTACTAGCAGCACTAGAAGTGTGGCACACAGTTACTAGCAGTACTAGAAGTGTGGCACACAGTTACTAGCAGTACTAGAAGTGTGGCACGCAGTTACTAGCAATACTAGAAGTGTGACACACAGTTACTAGCAGTACTAGAAGTGTGGCACAGTTACTAGCAGTACTAGAAGTGTGGCACACAGTTACTAGCAGTACTAGAAGTGTGGCACACAGTTACTAGCAGTACTAGAAATGTGGCACACAGTTCCTGGCAGTACTAGAAGTGTGGCACACAGTTACTAGCAGTACTAGAAGTGTGGCACACAGTTACTAGCAGTACTAGAAGTGTGGCACGCAGTTACTAGCAATACCAGAAGTGTGGCACACAGTAACTAGCAGTACTAGAAGTGTGGCACACAGTAACTAGCAGTACTAGAGGAGTGGAACACAGTAATTACCAGTACTAGAATGGTGCACACATTGTTACCAACTTTACTCACCAACTCTTCAAGAAGAATGGGTTCACGCTTTTCATTTGCTCTTGGTCAAAAGAATTAATGTAATTACTGGCCATATTGCACAAGTGCATGTTCCCTGTAAATCTGGTGGCCTCCCCAGAGAATTACATTAACGCTCACCTTGTGAAATATCGTCGTAGATATTTTGGTTGATCATCCTCTCGACGTGTGTAGCTGCTAGGTGGAGTCCTGGTAGGTTGAGGGACACTTTACCAAACTCCTCATGTGGCTGTGGTTCTACAACTAGTATCGGGTCCAGTGTCTTTAGAAGCAAGAATATAAACATTAGTTAACGCAGTTGTGAGGCTTGTTAATATGGGGTGTGACAGTAATACTTGGTGTGTGTGTGTGTCTGTGTGTGAGATAGAGAGGTGAGTAGGTTTGTTGCTTTGTTCACTACGCCAGTGAACAAGTGGCGTAGTGGAATTCAAACCCAAGCCTTGCTGGGGTTGAATTCCAATAACCACTTGTTAGATCAATCATGCAGCATGACATACGTTGTATTTAGGGCCATGAATGGCTCTCAGTTAAGATCTACTGAAAGCTTGAATCTGATTTGCCAAAACATCTTTCGCTGCAGAAGTTATTCATTTTTTCAGTTCTCTGCTGCCTTCTTTGTGCAGAGGACTTATGCATGCAGTTCTTAAGGCTCTAATATTTCACCAAACTCTAAGCTCTTTCTCTATAGAATACCAAGTGCTCGTGATAGTGGCATTTTCCACTCCTTTATAAATAATGAATTCAGTGAATGTAGCCCAGGTGATGTGGAAATTCCACATATTTCTTTTTCGAATTCAGTGGGATTCGTGCGCCTGTCAGATATATAATTAATAGACGTAATAAAATAATGTTCTGTATTCTGCTTTCGTTTAGTGAATACTGAACGTTGATTTATAATGGTCTCTGAACCTTACGATTTTTACTTCGGTTTTGTCAGTCTATGAACCTTCTGTGAGTTACTGGGTCAGTGTATGAACCTTCTGTGAGTTACTGGGTCAGTGTATGAACCTTCTGTGAGTTACTGGGTCAGTGTATGAACCTTCTGTGAGTTACTGGGTCAGTGTATGAACTGGTACTTCTGAACTTCTGTGAGTTACTGGGTCAGTGTATGAACCTTCTGTGAGTTACTGGGTCAGTGTATGAACCTTCTGTGAGTTACTGGGTCAGTCTATGAACCTTCTGTGATTTACTGGGTCAGTCTATGAACCTTCTGTGAGTTACTGGGTCAGTCTATGAACCTTCTGTGATTTACTGGGTCAGTGTATGAACCTTCTGTGAGTTACTGGGTCAGTCTATGAACCTTCTGTGATTTACTGGGTCAGTCTATGAACCTTCTGTGATTTACTGGGTCAATCTATGAACCTTATGTGATTTACTGGGTCAGTGTATGAACCTCCTGTGATTTACTGGGCCAGTTCGACTTGTGGTTCTTGTCTTGGATTTTTGCGTTTTGTGTAGATTTTTTTTTCCAATATCGTTGATGGCGTTTTGTTTCGTTTGTGATTCTTCTGTCTGGTATAAATAGTTAAATTTGTATCTCTCTGTCACCCCATCATCACAGCCTGGCGTGTGTGACGTCCTCAATGTTTGAACTACTCAAGGTGAATACAAGGTCCAATCTTGCTGGTTCATCCTCACCTTTCTGATAGTGTCAGTCTGTCTGCGTTCATGCATTTGTAAAATTACCAGACGATGTCTTAATGTTTAATATTCCGTGAGGTTGGTGTGATAATTTCTGCTGATATTTTTATGGTTGGCACTCATGTGTCTGGTGTCTAGTTCTGTATATCTCATATCATTTTGATCAGCCTTTATTTGATCATATAATTGAGAGAGTTGATATATAAACATTAAGGAGGATGGATGAGCTGGGGCGCCATTGATCACTCGTCAACATGACTTCTTAGTTGGGAATTTTTGATCATATTAAGTGTTGTATTAATGTTGGTAGAATTACATACTATGTTAAGTAAAAGGACACAAGTGCAACTAATTTGACACTTTATTGTGACAACGTTTCGCTCTCCAGGAGTTTTGTCACTATATATAAATGCGTGATGACTAGTGTCCCTGTTAACTGAAGGTAGGTATTCAATGTCCCACAAACTAGAAGCAGTTTGAAAACCTGCTGTCATTTTTGAATTTAGTATCACCAGAATACCCTAATTATGTTCAAATATCTTTGGCAACGATTTTTGTTGTTACTGACCAGTGATTGGAGGATGTTGAGCCTATGTTAACAATTTAGTGGGTATTACTGACTGACTGGAGGAGCAAACAGACAAATTGATGTGCCACAGTTGGGTATATTTATTGTTGATACATTTTGCATACACAATAGGCCATTCAGTCAGATGCAGACGAGAATAAATATGTAGATAACAACAGCAGTGGCGAGGTAAAGATAATGTGATCAGTCCATTAGCCTTCAAGAACTTCGTGAGGTGGTCAGTCCCTCAGCCCGGAGAGGAGAGTTCATCTCCATCCTCTGGAACAATGTGAAGCTGAAGAATGAGAATGGAGTCTATATGTTACCGAAGATAAGGAAGGACTCCAAGACACTGCAGGAGGCGGAGACTTTCCTTCTCACCCTCGGCAATATATAGACTCCATTCTCATGCTTCAACTTTGCATTGTTCCAGACTATGGAGCTGAACTCTTCTCCAGGCTGAGGGACTGACCACCTCAAGAACTCCTTCAAGGATGATGGACTGATCCCACCATATTTACCTCGCCACTGCTGCTGCTGTCTCCATACTAACATTTTCTGTATTACACTGAAGAAAGCTACAGTGTAAGCTAAACGTTTCAACATGTTTAATACCCTAAAATATACTTTTCATTGATGAACTTCACTAAATCCAAATCTGAGAAACCATTAATAGTTCATAAATAACAAAAAAAGCGCAATACCGTAACTGGAACGACACACTAACCCGCACATAGAAGAGAGGAGCTTACGACGACGTGTCGGTCCGACTTGGACCATTTACAAAGTCACACTGACTTTGTAAATGGTCCAAGCTGGACCAAAACGTCGTCGTAAGCTCCTCTCTTGTATGTGCGGGTTATTTGTGTACCATTAATAGTTTTTTTCGGTATCTAATTGAACAGTTCCATTGCAACCCTATTTCTTTACTATCCAGAAATTTAAACTCACATGATCAGCTAGTTGTCAGGAACGCTTGAGGAGAACAGAGGCTGTTATTTCCAGCTCCTGTTCTCATGCCACTTGGTAACACAAAATAGTTTACTTTCAGGTGGATGCTGGTGAGTGAGCAGCTAGTGCAGTGCTATTGCAAACTGCAGGAGATACTGTATATCAGATGTTTGTCTTCTCGGTAATACTGGTAAAGCACCATCAATCATTCACTTTAATCTAGATAGAGGCATTGATTCTTATTAGCACTGGAGAGCTTCCAAATCTACCTCTCGTCCTTCGTTCATCACTACTGGTCAAGACCTCCCCTTAAGGAAGGCTCCTTGACGCTGGTGAGGGGCTCTTGATCTAGGGAATTGGATCTGTGCTCCAGTTCCCTGAATTAAGCCTGAATGCCTTCCATCCCCCCATAGGCGCTGTATAATCCTACGGGTTTAGTGCTTCCCCCTTGATTATAATAATAATAATACTGGTCAAGAATGACAACACTACCGACCTTTGTTAACAGTATACAGACCGAGAAAGTTCAGTTGATGTATTGAGTGTCGCTTCTACAGCCATTTAAGGATTAAGACGACGAGAGCTGTCGTGAGATGGGAAGGAAGAAGGATAAGGAAGGATGGAAATAACTGGAAAAGGATGGGAAAGAGAGGAAGAGGAGGAATCAAGGCAAGTGGCCCAACCATATGATAACACAATTATAAATATTTTGTGGGGAACGATGCCGTTGATTTCTTCCTAAGATTAATTGAAGAACATTTTTATTACTATATTATGTATTGGGAAAACTGTAATCAAGTTCCTTTTCCTTATCTTGCTTTTGTCATCTGTGTCTAAGACTTCGTTAGCTCGGTAGAGCTGTCTCACCTTATAATGTTTTTAAGAGAGAATGAGCTTTGACACTGTGCTATTTTTATCATCTTCAATTGAGCACTTTGAGCAGTGGCGGGTAAGGGCTATGAAGGCGGCCTTATTATCTTTTATATTTTTTTCTATGACATTATGCTCTAAAGATGACCGATGGCGCTGTGGAACCCTAAATCTGTAATGGTGCTTGTGGGGTTCCCCAGAATGGTGCGTCCACCGAGGGTGTCATTATTCGTGGTGCGCTGTGTACTGTTGCGCCACAGATTTGTTTGAAGAGTGATGTTAAACTTATATAACAAAAAAAGGCACAATACCGTGACTGGAACGATACACAAATAACCCGCACATAAAAGAGTGTGACTTTGTAAATGGTCCTAGTCAGACCGAAACGTCGTCTTAAGCTCCTCTGTTCTATGTTCGGGTTATTTGTTAAGCTTACTTGATTACCTAGCTTGTGGTAATTATTTCTGGCACTCTAGTTAACAGCTGGCTCATATCCTATTATGACCACTAGATCTTTGGCATAGTTGTGTCTTCAGTGTATTGTAACGTGTTCATTTGTCAACAATGTACATAGAGGTGGTGAAAGGGGATGTATTTGTAAATCACACATTAATTTCTGTGTCTGATTTCTGTCCTTTGAGTGACCCCCTTGACACTTAATTGGCCATTGCAAATAGGAAAATCCAGAACTGCAGGACCTGCAAGAGAAGTGCTGTACTGGCATTATCGAATAAGTCCCAGCACTGAATGACCCAGGACGTGCAGTTCCAGCACTAAGCAACCCAGGATGTATAGTCCCAGCAGAAAGTTACCCAGGATGTATAGTCCCAGCAGAAAGTTACCCAGGATGTATAGTCCCAGCAGAAAGTTACCCAGGATGTATAGTCCCAGCAGAAAGTTACCCAGGATGTATAGTCCCAGTAGAAAGTTACCCAGGATGTATAGTCCCAGCAGAAAGTTACCCAGGATGTATAGTCCCAGTAGAAAGTTACCCAGGATGTATAGTCCCAGCAGAAAGTTACCCAGGATGTATAGTCCCAGCAGAAAGTTACCCAGGAGTAACTCAAGATACATGCATGAAATGTCACACTGACCAATATATGAAAAATAGGGTCAATATAATCTTAATATGCGGGAGAAAGAAAATTTGCTTTAGACAAAATTCCATGAATGAAGTATACGAGACTTGACTGATCGTTGAAGAGGCCACACAGACCTACTTGAGTCCAACT